AGAAGAATATGATGATCCTGAAATAATAAACTTTGACAACAGTTTAACGAAACTAAAAGATCATTTACACGTCTTAGAGTTTCTAAATGAAAGGGAAAAATCCCAAGTTAAATAGAATATGAATAATCCAAAAGTCAATCGAATTCTCACTGAGATAATAAGAACCAATCTAACAGAGGAACAAATTAAACAAAACCTCGGTGATTTAGAAAGCCAACGAGAGGAAACTGTTGAACAAGTACTTAAATCAGAGGACAAACAAAAATTAGCCGCTTACGATGATTTAGAGGCTAAAGGCTTGCCAGAGAAAGGTTTACCTGCCGATTGAAAGAAACAACTAGAAAGAAAAGCACAACTAGAAATTAACCAAGCCGATTACAATGCCAAAAAAGAAGAGCTAAAAGGTTGAACTGATACTTTTGGTGAGCAAACGCCCCAAGAAATAGCGGAAAGGATTGCTAAACTAGAACAAAGACCCGATATTACCCAAGAAACTTGAGAAGATCATAAAGAACGAAAACCTTTAATTGAATATAATGATTTAGAACAAGAATTAAAGGGTTGAAAGGACACTTTTGCTAATCAAATACCGGAAGAAGTAGAAGAAAAAAGGGTAGAATTAGTAAAAAAAGAAGGAATTTTAAAAGAATGAGAGCAAGAGTTCCCGCAACAAGCTGCTTATCAAATTAGGCAGGAAATAACTGAATTACAACAAAAATTTAATGAGTGGAGTGGAACTTGAAACCATCGAAAACTGACAGAAGTTAAAGAAGAATGAGACTTATTGAAAAAAAGACCAGATATTCCGATTACTCAACAACAGTGATGGAATGATTATACTCGCCGCAAGCCTCTGGATAAAAGTAAAGCCGAAAAAGAAGAATTAGAGCGAGAAAGAAAAAGAGTTAAAGAATTAGAGGAAGAAAATAAAAAGCTATCTCAAGACATTAGTGAAGTTTTAGAGAACGGAAAAACTATCCGCTATATGTTAGCCGAACCAGTGTCAAATGCCGAGCAAGCCCAAGTGGCAATTGAAAAATTATTAGCCAAAACCGAAAAAGAATGAGAGGATTATTTAAAAAATGGTGTGACTGAAAATCCTTTTCTGAAATCAAGTTGTCGGGATGAGAAAAATAAAAATCAAGCTCAGCAAATTTTAGAATGAGTGAAACAGGCTCGTGACACTCACGATTATCCGAAGCTCTTAGAAAGATGAAGTGGCGGTGATGAACATGCTAAAAAATATGATTTCGATGGTAGCCTTTATTTATTAAAGAGTTATTTAGATAAATATTAAGAAAATTTCAATTCCGACCGGAATTTAAGATAAAACTTTACCGCGGACGAAAATCCTTCATATCTTTCAAAAATTTAGAAAATAAGTAAGCAAATGCCAAAAAAAGACCAAAAACCATCGTTCTTGGAAAAGATGGTGGAGCATTCCAAAGAAACTGAAGAAAAAGAAAAACAAAGAAAAGACAGAGCTTTTTTAGAAATAATCAAGTCTTATCTAACTGAAGAGCAAATTAAGCAAAATTTGGGAGAAATTCAAAAAGAACAGATCGAAGAGCGAGTCGAGGAAATTCTCACCGCTGAAGATAAACGAAAATTACAAGAATATAACAAATTAAAGATTGATTGAAAGAAAAAGGTCGATCGCTTGTCTCAATTAGAGATCAATCAGGCTGATTATAATCAAATCAAGCAAGAACTAATTGCATGAAAAAAAGTCTTTGGAAACCAAAATCCTAGTGAAATTGAGAACCAAATAAAAAACTTAACCAAAGAAGCAGATGCTCTACAAAGCAAATACAAGCAGATTGCGGAAGAATTAGGTAATTGAGAGGGCAATTTTAAAAACCAAGAACCAAAAGAGGTTAAACAGAAGATAACTGAATTAGAGCAAGAGTTAATTGCTTCCAACCAAAGCCAAAAAGATAACCAAGACCAATTACAAAAGTTAACTAAAGAACTGACTGAATGGCAGAAAAGAACAGAAAAACAAAGCAAAGATTATGAGAAAGTCCAAAAAGAATTAAAAAAGTGAACTCAAATTTGAGAAGGTCAGGATCCGCAAGTAACTAAAAAAGAGTGAGAATTATTAAAGAAAAGACCCGAAATTCCCATCACGGAAAAGCAATGGTGAGATGATTATGTACAACGCAAAACCCGAGCAGAAAGCGAGAAAACTGAAAAAGAATTAGAAGAATGTAAAAGTGAAATCAAAAACTTATTAGGATTAACTGATTTAAGCAACTGAAAAACCGAATTAGCCAAATTAAAAGGCGAAAATCAAGGCTGGGAAAATAAAATAAGACTAGTTTTAGGATTAGAAGAAGACGAACTTTTTCCTAATGATTGGCATAATCAATTAATAAACAAGCAACAATTAGCTTTAATTCAAGATTTACTAGGAGAAAAATCCAGAAGTTTAAAAAAATGAACCGAACAATTTCCTAATCAAACTCCCCGGGAAGTAGAAAAAGAAAGGCATGTTGCTAAAAAGCCAGAAAGATTATTGACTGAGTGAACTAATCAGTTTAAAAATAAATCAGCCCAAGAAGTAGCTAAAGAAATCAAAAATAAAGATAGTGAAATAACTATTCTCCACCTGCAAATTGAGGAATTGGGAGGAACTGTGGGAGCAAATCCTAGTGAGAGACTAATTGAAAGTAAATTAAGAGAAATAGTAGTGGCTGAGGATTGAAATCTAGGCTACCTGACTCAAGTATTAAAGAAATTTTTAGAATGGAGAGAAATGGGAACTTCTGAACAAAAACGAGCAATCATAAAATATTGAGTGGTAATTCAGAAGAATTTAACTTATTTGGAACAACGAACCAAACAGGCTATGGCTAAATTTTAATTTTACACTTCCTCACGCTCCCGAGCGTACGTGTAAGCAAGTAATAATAATGACTTAAAAAGCAACAAAAATTAATACATAGCAATTTTGAACTAAGATATATTCAGGCATAGCAACAAAATAAAGCTTAAAATTATTACATAACAACACAAATGATAAGTAAGCAAAAAGAATTAGGTTATGGAAAAGGATTTCCTCAACCACTAAAATTTAACTGCTCTCAATGTCAGAAAAAATTTGAAATCAAGTTCGTGATTCCTCGCCAGCAATATTCACTTAAAAATAACTGGGGGTTTTGAACCGAGAAAGAGGAAGACAAAAATAAGCAATTTTGCGATACTTGTCTTCGTAATAATTACTATAATAAGGAGTTTTATTGAAAAGAAGTCAAAAATCCTAAAAAACGCTTATTGTTCCGCTCCTACCTTTATCAACGGCACATTCAATAATTTTTTAACATTTAACATAATAATACAAAATACTACATAAAAATATTAATAACATATTATGAAAATAAGTAACAGTAAAGATTTTTGAGTAGAAATCAGTAAAATGCACGAGCATATTGTCGAATTTAAAAACAAGTATAAAATAACTGACACAGAGTGAAACGAAATGTTTAGATTTCCAGTAAAAGATATTAGCGAGGAGGAAAAAAGATATGAATAAAGAAGAAAAAAAATGCCAAGGGTGCCACAAAGCACGCAGTTATAAGGAAGAAAAATGATATGAGTTTTGGGATAGTAGCAACCAAGAAAAAGGCGGAGTTTGTGCTAATTGCTGAAATCAAAATCAAGAAGGATATAAACAGAATGAGGAAAGAATAGCCGAGACAGATGGAGAAGGAATAGGAGTCGCAGAGCCATTAATCAAAGATAAATGCAATAAATGCCAAGAGACTACGTGAGGAGACAATTATACTTGCGTTATTCATAATTTAACCCATTATCCAGGCGATAATCCTTGTTGAAATACTGACAAATGCAATTGTGATGACCATCCCAGTGTCTTAATTAAGTTTTGTCCTAATCGATATAACAAGAAATTATTATATTGGCATGGAAGAGAAAGTCTAATTGAGCAAGCTAAAGAAAATGATCCAAATTTAAATAACTTAAGGTGCAATAACAATAATCAGCAAGAAAGAAAGAAAGAAAGAGAGAGAGAGAGAGAGAGAGAGAGAGCAAAATTCAGAATCCAATACCGAATTACAGCAAATTAGACAATATTTACAAGATAACAACATTATCTCTATTGAACCTAATGACGATCAATTAATAATCACTTTTAATGAGAGAAGCGAGAGAGGAGCAGGCACATTATGAACCTCTGCTGATACTCCCGAATTAAGACAAGTCCAATCTTATTTACAAAATCAAGGAAAAAACTCAATTAGTTTAGCCGAATTAACTCAAAATCAAGCTGGCAAGAGTAATTATTGACCTTGGATAATTGGTGGCGGAGTAGTTTTAATAGGGATTATTGGGATGGCGATTTGGTTAGTTGTTAGAAAGAAGAAAGGAGTAAAGGAATAACATGATTTGAGCAGATATTCAAAATTTTACTCCTCGATTGCAAAAAGATTGAGAAGACAATGGATTCACCAAGGAAGAATATAAAGAATGAATCCAAACTGGATTTGAACTAGATGATTATAATTGAGTTAAAAAATGAAAAAATTATAATTTCACTCCCCAAGAAGCTAAATCCTGAATAGATATTGGTTTAATTGAATATAATGACTATAAATTTGCCTATTATTTAAGACAAAATAATTATCAACCTAACAAACAGTTAAATTTAGAACAATTAAGAAAAGAATTTAATGATTGATTAAAAACTGCACAAGGTTATTTAAATTTTTATTATCCTCAACCGGGAACTTGTATTAGGGAAAATGAAGGACATGAACTTAATAACTACAATAAAACTCGTTCTCAAATAACTAAATTAAATATTTATCGAGAAAGCCTCCGTGGTTCATTAAATTTAGAAGGATTTGTTAATTTAAAAGAATTTCGATGTTCTAATAATAAATTAACTAATTTAAATTTAAGCAGTGGCAATAATTTAGAGAAATTAAATTGCTATTATAATAAATTAACTAATCTTAATTTTTTAAATAATTTAAATGAAGAAAAATTAACTGTTCTTAGTATCGGCAATAATAACTTTCCCGAAAGTGATTTAACTCCTTTTAGTAAGTTTACTAATTTAGAAGAATTATATTTAGGAGGCAATAACTTTACTGGTTCTTTGAAGCCTTTGGCAGGAATGACTAAATTAAAAAAACTAACTATTAGTGACACTAATATTGATAGCGGCTTAGAATATTTACCTGATAGTGTTGAGGATTTTTCTTGTTGAGCAAATAGAAGAAAAGATGCCAAAATAAAAACCATTTACAATTTATTTGCTAATGACCAAGGAGAAGTAGAAACAGAAAACCAAGGAATAAAAAAATTCCCCCAAAAACTTCAAGACTATAAGCAATGAAGAAAACTTAACTTCTCGGAAGAGGAAATTAAACAATGAGTAAATGCTGGAGCTACTTTAGACGACCACGGATTTGTTACCTGATTAAGAGATATTAAAAAAGAAAGTCCCGAATGAATTACCGATTATAAAGAAGACTACCAAATATTACGTAACAGATTTAAAAGATATGGCTTATGTTCTGAATGTAAACAACCAAACACCGGAGACCAATGATGCCAATCATGCAATGCTTCTCGTTTACAAGACAACTTTACTCAATGAACCAGCCATAATCCTAAAATAGATGAATTCATCCAAAAATACCAACTAGCAGCCACCGAAGCTAACAAATTCCTAGAATGAATTCCTTATGAGCAGTTTACTGATATTGAATTCCTAGCCCAAGGTGGCTTTGGTAAAGTTTATAAAGCCAAATGAACTGAGGGAAATATTCATTGTTGGGATACTAAAAAGAAGCAATGATACCGAGAAAAAGACAAAGATAGTAATAATTGATACAAAAACCATCGAGAAGTAGTCTTAAAAAGCCTCACTAATTCCCAAACCAATACCGACTTTCTTGACGAGACGGCCAAGCATAAAGACATTGACGACTGATTTAATAATATTGTGTCTTGTTATGGTCTCTCCCAAGACCCGGAAGGAAATTACTTAATGGTCATGAAATACATCGAAGGAGGAGACCTAAGAAAATACTTAAAAAATAAAAAATTAACTTTCCAAAATAAACTGCTTCGTTTGGTAAATATTGCTCAAGGATTAAAAGACATTCATCAAAAGAAATTAGTCCATCGAGATTTCCATTCCGGTAATATCCTAAACAGTGATATTCACAGTTTTATTACTGATTTGGGGCTATGTAAGCCAGTTAACGAAGAAAACCAAGAAAACAAGCTTTTTGGAGTATTACCTTATGTGGCTCCTGAACTTTTGAGTAAAAAAGAAAATGAACCTGCATCATATACCCAAGCAGCTGATATTTATTCCTGAGGAATGGTGGCTTATGAAGTAATTTCTAGTTTGCCTCCTTATCCTGATTTAGCTCATGACTTTGATTTAGCTATGAAAATATGTGAAGGACTTCGTCCAAGATTTAAAGTTAAAATACCTCAATTATTAAAGGAATTAATTGAAAGATGTTGAGATGCTGATCCTGTCCAAAGACCAACCGCTAATGAATTAAATAGGATATTGAATAATTGGTTAAGTGAAGTCAAAAACAAAAGCAATACTGAATTTGTTCAGCAATTTAAGGAAAGAGAACAGTTTTTAAATAATTTGACCTCTGTTGATTATAAAGTTCATCCTTCGGCAGTCTACACCAGTCGCCTTTTAGATTTTAAGAACCTTCCTAAACCCCAAAATAGTAAGGAAATTAATGAACAGTTTTATTCTCAATTTTGCCCAATAGGTTCTAGACAAGTTGATTTAGAAATTCCTGCTAGCTTTGGTCAACTTAATAGTGATCAAGAATTAGCAAACAGAACTAAAAGACAACTCTCCCTTGATTCTCAAACTAAAACCAACCAAGGAGAATCTAAACAGCAAAAGGTCTTTGAAGAACAATCTTACCAGACTGCTGAACCAATGGAAATAGACAAAAGCAATCAACAAACCGCCCAAACCCTCCAAACTAACTTACCAAAAGGAGGAAATTATGAATAAAGATAATTACTGCCCACGCTACAAGCAAAATGTAATGGATATTCTTGCACCAGCAAGAAGAAAGAAAAAGATAGGAAAGAGAGGATAATATGAAAAAGAATGGTTTGCAACTTTTTAAATTGATAGATTTTGATAATGAGAGCGAGATACAATCATTTTTTAAAAACAATTTAGATGTTGTTTCTTCTAGGTTGCATTTTTTGGCAAAAGAATGGCCAATACCTAGTCATAAAAAAAGTTACAAGCAAGAAGGCAGAATTGATGTTTTAGCTTTTTCTCATAACAAAAAAGGAGTTTGGGAAGAAATAGTAATTATAGAATGCAAATGAAAAAACATAAATAATCCTTTAGGACAAGCAGAAACTTATCTTTACAATTTAAAAAGTGAAGTTAGCAATGCTTGAGAACTGCAAAGTGCTTATAATAAATGATTAGAAAAACAAAAAAAAGAAAAAATTGTTTTAAAAAAACCTGAATCACTATGAAAAAATCATATCCTTATTAGTGTAGCACCTTTTGGTTATTTTAAGCAACATCATTATGATAATGCATTAAAACATGGAATTATTTTAGTGGAAATTCAGAAATATGAAAACAACGAAAGTAATCTTTTTACAATTTCATTAGCAACAAGACTATTGGAGAAAAAAAAGATAAGAGGCACGGAGGAAAAATGAAAAAAACTTCTGGGGATAGAAGAAAAAAACATGGCTATTATAATTCCTAAAGAAAAGCTGGCAAATAAAACTCAAAAAGTACTCTCTCGCTTATCCGAGTGTGAGCGTGGAAGTGAAAAAGAAACGAAAATCGAAACTAATACTCAACAAACAAATTTAGAACAATTTTTAGCACAATACAAAGTTGATGAACAAATTAAAGATTTGGTTAGGGAAATAAACAGGCATATTCTCTCGCTTGACAAACTAATAACTGGAAAAAGAGCCGGAAAAGCAAAAGATAAGTACACATGCTTTACTTATTGCTACGGAGAAAAGCAAAAACCTTTTTTATCCTTTCGCTTACAACAGAAAAAAAAAGAAATCAGTGCATTTTTAAAAAAAATAGGGAACTGGGAAATAATCGGCGATAGTTGAGAATTAAATACTGAAACGGGTGGATATCCTAACAATAAATCTTTTAAATGAAAAACCATTATCAAAGATAAACCAGACTGCGAAAGATTTATCGGTTCAATTAAAGAATATTTGAAAAATTTTTAAGAAAGAAAATGATTTATTTTTAGTGTAATTTAAGTGTCTGTGAGAAACAAAAAAATACCCTCACTTAAAAAAATTAACTTAATGAATCAAGAACTGACTAAACCAAGCCTTGAATTATTAAAAGAATTAGACCAGTGTTGCGGAAAAGAAAGAGTTTTAGCTGATACTTGGGAAGATAAAGAGGATAATCAAGTTTGCCTTACTTATTCTTGTAGTAGTTGCGGGAGTTATATCTCTTCTTTGGAGGAAAAAGAAAAACCAATGATACTTACTGAAAAACAATATAAAAAATTGAATAGGCTAAGCTGGGAAATACAAGGCAAAACTTATGAGATAGAAAGCTTGTTGGAAGAATTAAAAGGGAGCGAAGAAGAAAGAATGGAAGATTATTGTGATCCAGTAGATGAAGAAGGAGAATAAAAATGGAGAACAAGACTAGATCGACTATCCGAGAACAAAGAGAAACTGTCACAAGGAATTTTCATAAATTAAAAAACCAATTCCTAAATGAAGAACAAAAAAACTTGGTTCATTTAGGAGAGTTAGAATATGACTACTGGCGATATCGCCGACCACGTAGTAGGGGCTTTACTCATCCTCATCGCAAAACCCCTACTAGAGAACAATTTATATGAGTTTTTATTCGCTTATGATACAAACCATTTAAATTAAAGAAATTATTAAGAACTATTGCCCATGAATTTGCTCATGCTTGATTAATCTTGGAAAATCCTGATAACCCTGAAATCGCTAAGTGCAAAGGAAATGGTGGAGAACATGCTGAAGAAACAAAACGCTTTTTAGAGTATTTAATGGATAATTTAGAAGCAGAAGAGAAAGAAGTTATAAAGCAGCAGGAATTAAGTTAACTAATTTAAAAACTCGCTAAATAATTAAAATTGTTGTTAACCAACAATGCCAGCCATAGACGGAAAAGTTAAGCAATTTTCAGACAATATTTTAACTTTAAAGGATATTCGAACTAAACCTGATCTCTGAAGAAAACCTACCGACATTAATCCTCGAACTGGTGAATCTTCCTATCGCGATTTAAGAATTTATACTGAATGACCTTATTGAACTAGGAATTATAACTTTTTGCCTTTACCGAGCAAGTGAAAAGAAATAAAAGAACAAGTTTTTAAAGACCTTTACAAAAAAAGAACAGGTACACAATTAGGAGAGCATACCGGAGACAAATGAACTACCGATAACCAAAAAACTGACCAATATCCTCAAATAAACTACTACATTATTAAGAATGCTAATACCATATTAACTTTTATTTTTCAAAATAAAAAGCGATTATCCCTTGAAAAGCTCAATTTAGCTTTATTTTTTGGAAATTATAATCCGGCTAAGAAAGACGTTCCTAGCCTTTATTGAATCACTAATCATCAATACATAGACGATCGTAAATTATACGTTCAAATTGAAGCCAAAAAGTGTTTATTTTGGGAGTATTTTGGATATTTTGCGAAAAGCTGAGGAACAGCCAATATTAAGAAGAGTGCTATTGGCTTTACTCATAACGAACACGAAGATGACCCAGAATAAATGAATTAAAGTTAAACAATTTGGAGCCAGTTCTTTTGAAGCCGGACAAGGCTCGGGTCTCTCTGGAATAGTTTATAATTGTGTAAAGTGAGAGATTAAAGGAAAATATTATGCGGTAAGTGGAATAAGTCCTTTTTCTGATGAATTTGGCGCAACTTATTATATTAATGAGAAATTACTTAATAAAGTAAAAAATCATGGAGCAGAACTAACTGGTTATGCCGGAAAACCTTATCCTTTAACTGAACAAGAAAAAAACAACTGAATCAAGAAAAACAAACCAGCAAACGAAGAAGAAGAATATGATGATCCTGAAATAATAAACTTTGACAACAGTTTAACGAAACTAAAAGATCATTTACACGTCTTAG